TGAGAAATTTCTACCAATTTCTTTTCTAGCGATTTTATGATGAAACAATGCCACGACCGAAACACAAGTGTGAATATGAGCAGGTGTAAATGCTAACCTTTGCGCTGGTTTTCAAATAAAAATAAATTAAATTATTTCACACTATGCTAGGTGGGATTGGTTGAGAAATGTTTTTTTTTTTGGCAATTCACGATTTTTTTTATACTTCATTCTTAAAATTTAAAAACCATAACGAGTAGTGCTTTGTTTTTTCATAAAACCACACACAGTTCGATTTATTCGATCCTTTTGTCTTTTATGATAAAGAAACATAAGAAAATGAATTTTTGATTCATTCCGTGCATGGCTGACCTTCTTTGGCATGACCGAATCGGCACAACGTCTAAATGGCAACAAAGATCAATGGGTTCAATCATTGAATACATATATATTCATTTCGTTCCACTCGACAGATTGAACACAGAAAATTACGTAGAAACACATCGTAATAAGAAACAATATCGAAATAAAAATAATTAACTTTAAAATCTTGATAAAGTTGTGTATTTGATTTACAATTTTAAGAATTAGACAAATAATTCACAGCCAACAAACGGCAGCATAAATATCACGCTGTCAGTTTTGTCGTTTTTCAAATCAAATGTCCAATTCATCAATGCTGATGAAACTGCCAATGTCAATTTATTGAAATATTAGATCGGCTTGTTTTTGCCACAGACGCATATACTATAATTTCATTATGTGAAATTAAAAAAAAAAATATATTACAATAAACCAAACGATTAAAATAGCTGATTCATGGTTTCGATGGATTTTGAATGTTGGTGAAAAAAAACGCCGATTGAAATCGTTCGAATGAAAAATAAAAACACATATAAAAATCGTGCATTTGGCAGGAACTCCGCAGCTTTTGTTAATTTCATGCTCGTCAAATCATTTTTGTCGGAATTTTTTTTTTCGATTCAATTTTGATTGCGGCATTTTCTTTTTTATTCTTATTGGCAATTTATTTATTGAACCGATGGAAAAATAAATTATTTTAAATAAAATTTAATGAAAAATCCGATTCAAAATATGGATATAATTGTACGGGAGAGAGAAATGTTGTAATTAAAAATTACGACAAGCGAAATAATCAAGGACAAAAATCGGAATTGTACGAAAAAATGAAGCTCGGATTAAATATGAAAAAAATGGTCGATGCAGTGAGAGGAGAGAGAGAAAATGACTGAAAAAAAACAGGTAAACCAAAAAACACTGAAGAATCAAAATCAAATGCAACCGCAATATGCGCAAAAAATACTGACAGCCACTTAACTAAAAACAAATGAATCAATGTTTATGATTTATTTCCCGTACAGGAAAAAAGGCAATAAGGCCAGTTACATGAGTAACGTACAATAAAACAATAAATAAAAACTATGACCATTGAAAAGCGTTTGTTGTTGCAAAACAAACGTGTGTAACTCATTAATTTTTATTTGTATTGACATTATTTTGTTGTTGTTGTTGTTTTTTCGTTTGTGTCAGTTTTATTTTGCTGATGATCTGTGGCTGTGATGTGGTACACTCAACTAAATGCTCATTTATACTCAATTATGAAAAACGACAACCGTGTAAAAAAACGTACAGAAATTCTCTTTCCATAACTGGTGCACATTGCACGTACGATCGCTCGATGAATTGCGGTTTATCGATTACAATCAGATTGTACCTTTTCGGTTGGAATTCGCAATTTTATTTATATATATTTTATCACATACAGAAAAATGAAAATCAGCCGCTGTCGCATCATAGAGAAAAAGCGAACGCGATTTCATTGAGTCAAATAATAAATATAAATCAAGTGCTTACGTTATCAATTTTTCACTCGATTTTTTATTCGTCTTTCTGATACATTGTTTTTTGAGGCAATTAAAAGTTTTTTTTTTTTTTTTTCAAATAAATGTGATGCTATTTATCAAGAATCCAATGAGAGTGTATAGTTGGAAAACGGAGCGATAACAATTTGACATATATCATTCAATACAGCATTTATACGATTGCATTGCCTTAAATGCAGTTTTAGTTAGGTAGCGGTTTTCTCGAATGAGTGTTGACTTGTCACAGAAACTGTAAAAAGTGTTGGCAGTATCAAAGTCTTGTTCAAATCATAAATTCATAACAAATAATATTGTTGTCTTGCCATTTACGATGATGCCATTTTTTTGTCGATTTGATTTACATTTTATTGAAGGCGACCAGTTTTGTTTTATTGCCTACTTGTTTTTAACTAGTATAATAATAACTCAAACGAAGAGATAATTTATTAATAACTGCATCAATGTATCTTCTATTACGTCCAATAAATTTTTCCATTTTTGTTTGATGATGATTTGTGTGGTTCGGTTTCTTTTTGTATGTAATTTTTGCTGCCAGCATGTCGATCATCTATTCTGTGAAAAAACGTTTTTTTTTTCAACCAATTAAATTACATAAATACACGTACCGATCCCGACACCTTTGATTTGATGCCTTTTTCAATTAGTGAGATTAACTTAGAGTTGAATAAAAAGAGCTCGACGTGAGTAAACGTCTAACCGATTAAAACGCTGATTCCATTTAATTAATCCATATTTTCATATTTGGCTTTTAATTAAAATTGTTTGGTCATGTTAAATGCGATCAGAGAAATTGAAACCGGTTGACGAGCAAACAGAATTCATGTGAAGATTTATTTTCTCATTGCGACTGGAACCAAATTGTCAAGAAAACGACAAAAATGTAGAAATAGACACTTTTGCATTGAGCGTATCAAATGTTTTTCTTTATGACAAAAGGAAAAAGGAAGTCGATAGATTGAAAAACAATAAAATCTATGACAAAAAAGACAGTAAATTCGGTCAATTTATTGCATGCCAGAGAAAAAAATGAGACAGAAATGTGGCGCTACCGATTTCACCACTTTGAATCGTTATGCTCTTAAAACCGAAACAAAATCGGATTAAAAGGCAAAATAACAGAAATTAAACCACATTTTGCTAGGTCTTTATGTACGTTCAAATGATTCACTTTTAGAATGCACCTGACTAGGCCTGCATTGGCTACGTTATTTATCCCAAAACATTTCCGAAACGCATTTTGCTACGGTTTTTTTGAAACGACCTATTTTTCGTCGTCCTCCTCATAAAATTGACAAATTATTAATGTTTAATAAACGAATCATATTAGGAGCCACATAAATTTTAACCGAAACACTCAAAATGTGTCGCTGAGAGAAAGAGCATCGTTTGACACATTGAATGGTCATGAGGCGCCTGATTCGTATCAGCAGTCTTTTCGAATAGGAAGAAGAATAAAGAGCAACAGAGAGATACAAAGAATTTTGAACAAACAATACCAAATGTAATTATTAATTTTTAAGTGAGTTTTCTTTTGTGTTTTTTTTTTGTCATGCCAACTTTTTTTTGTACCTTTATTCTATCACATGTTTGTGCAATCGAACAGATGATGCAAAACAGAGAGCACGAAACTATAAGTTGGTCTGTGTTACAGACTGTGTAATGTTTACCTTATCCGACTCTGTATTTCATTCAAAATATTGAGAGAAAGTCATCGAAAATACTGAACAGATAAGAAATAAGACAACGGGACAATTTATTGCTTTTTATTTTAACCAAAAAATATATATATTTATTGTTGGGAGACTTGTGTGTCGTCGCTCATAGTTTATTAGATATTATGGAATGGTTTGGCAAATTCGAAATCAAAATGAAAGTTAAGAAAATGCGATAAGAAAAGAATTATTTGGTCCAGTCAGTTGCTATCTCACGCCTTTGATTTTAATTACCTCAAGTGACCGGCGACATTGAACCAAAAACAAAATCCATAAAATTTTACAACAGCATATGCCAATGAGTCATGATTTGCTATCCTTGCAGCATATTCCATTGCGACATCGATTTTTCTAACCAGCTTCATTGAATATTAAGAGTGAATCTCTATGCTGTGAAAATCAATACATTTCTCTTGTACAAATTGTTCATTGGAATACGAAATAAGAATCATCGTCTCAGATATAGAAAGCGATGTAAAAATACAACAAGTGCCATCTACAAGCGAATAGTGATATTTTGTGCTTCTATTTTTCTTATTTTTTATCTCATTCGCGTCGGCTTCGGAGGTTTTTTTTGCCTTCTTCTCTTTTGTCCGATTCTTTACCTTCTTTGTATTCTCCTTTGCACATCGTACCAGCGCCGAGTCACATAAAAAGTCAACACAGCAAGAGAAGGAGAGAGTCGGCTGCATTTGCCAGTGTATGGGCATTGCGTTTGCGTTGGTCATATTCCCACATCGACCGAACGATAGATGTACGATAAAAATGCATGATGCGATATTACAATTCACAACAGCCGGTGCGCATTCACTGGCGTAAAACATCTTCATACATTCATATTGAACTGGTGAACGAATCTATCGCCAATCACTGTGCACTGAACTTACTGACTTACGCTTCACATGTGCTATACTCTTGTTCTATGTCGTGTTCGTTGCGCACATAACGGACATGAAAAATTCATATTCGTTACTTCAAAGGGTTGTAAATATAAACGTGTCAACGATCAAGGGGATGGCCACTCTTTTGGATTCATCTTCATTGCCTTTGATCATTTCCATTTTTGCGAAGAAAATATACTTCAACAAAAACTAAATAATTTCGTTTTCAATTTGTATTTTATACGTGGCAATATCGATGTCAATTCTAACGTTTCTTATTTATACAAAGCGTATTTGATGAACATTTCAACCTTTTTAAAAGTGAATATTTTTCTTTGTTTCCATATAAGACATTATTAGAATAAATTATATTGTCGTATATTCATAAACAATGTGTTCTATACATTTTTTTATTGGTGAAATATTTATTATCGATTAATCCACCTGCGCGTGTAATATTTTCTAATAAGCATAAGCAAACAAAATAACGTATATAAATGTAGATAACTTGTTGGAAAATTATCAGTAAATTCAAAATATCCGAGGCAGAAATTTGAGACCAATTTTTAAAGAAAAAAAATCGTTCAAAAAACATGTTGTCTTCAAAGTTGTCTGTATTGCTTTTCATAGGAATATCCACGGTGAATATCAAAAAAAAATTGCTTTAATATTGTCTTTGTATGTTAAAATGTGTATTATTATTCTTTATTTTAATGTAAAAACTAATACGGATCAGCTTTTAATTGCCAACGTTCATGGAGGCAAAGGGAAAGGTTTGGGACTGTCCAAACTTGTATTACCTTCAGATGAGACAATTAATGCACGCCACGGTTTTAAACCTGCATCCCAAGAAGATAAACACTTTATGAAGGAAGTTTATCATAGTGTTACCAATTTAGATGGTTCGGTCCTTGACGCTCCCAAAGTAGAGAAGAAGAAGAAGAAGAAGAAGACGTCAATGACGTCTAAAATTTTATTTGGAGAAAGTGCGGAAGAGAATATTGAACGACAAGCTTTTAAGGATCCAGTGACTCCACAAGCTTTACAACAGTTGACAAAATTATATCAAGTTGTCAGCGATGGCGTTGTGGTACCAGACAGATTAGATCATTGGACTCTACCATATGGAGTGGTAAAACCAGATGCACCGAAACCTTCAAATGATGAAGCGCTTTCTGATATACCGGAAAACCATTAAAATCATTATCGAAAATTATGATCTTTTCATTTTTTCATCGCATAATGAAAATTAATAAAATATTCTTTTGACAGAAACCAAACTATAAATAAAGCAAACTCCAAGTTATTATATGTAAATTGTCTATATATTTTTTTAATTTGTACGATACATTGGCGGTAGCGATGATGAATTCGCCTTTATTTACACAGATGTTGCTTGTTGGAAAATTTTGTTTTTTCCAAAAATCGTAGAATATTCGTAACTAAGTTTTGAAGTACGACACAATTGAAGATATTCTGAATGTTTGAATTAATCTACACGTGTACCTTCAAGGAAATTGTTTAAATTCTGTAAAAGTGGCCGAATTAAAAATATCATTTATAAACTGAAGTCATTTGATGAAAAGTCATCAGTATTTTCAAAGCAGAATCGGTAGAAGTTTGAGGAGAACATCTTCTATATTGAAAAAGTCATGAAGTTTTTTGTATTATTTTTCATCGGAATCCTACCTTCTACGGTAAATTCTTTTTTGAAATAGATCAAATATTTTGTTTTAATTTTCCATTGTTTTTCCTTTAAAACTTGTGATTTCATTCCTACTTAGCTCCTAATTACTAAAGTAAATGGAATCAACGATGAAAAGAAGAGTGTAAAGAAGATATCCTTAGGACTATCTCAACTTATCATACCGACGGATGTCCAAGTTCAGGCTTACCATACGTTTAAACCACCATCAAGTAGTGATATTACATATGTAAAGGACATTTACCATGCAGCTACTAACGAAGATGGCACAACTCGCGAATCTCAAACTGCTCCCACAGTGCATAAGAGTTCAACTAAAGGTTCAATTATACCAAAAATTTTGCGGAGAGAAACAAATACGGAAAATCAAGAACGACATGCGTTTAAACCAGTTTCTCCGAGAGAACTTTCCGGGCTATTTCAATTATTTAACGAAGACGCCGCAGTTCTTGACGGTGCGGTACCACCTCAACCATACTCCCCAGGAGATAAAGAGCATAAAGCAAGTTTCGAAGGCTTTTTGGTACCAGAAAGCGTATGGAGTCAACCATCTGCCAATCAAAGACCCTAACAAATCAAAAGATTGTTACGCTCCAATATAGAATATTTGAGAAATTAAAAAGTTAAAAAAAAATTAACTACGTCCTTTAAATAATGAATAAAAATTCTTTGAAAAAAGTATATGAGAATATCATAAAGGTCGATCATTTTCAAAAGTAGTATGTGGCAGATAACATTCAAAGTGTCTGGTGAAATGAAATAAAAATATTCCTTATTAAAAGTATATATCTTGAAAAGATCCAAAAATAATGAAAAATTCGGTCCAGACATGGCCCTTCTTCTTTCGTTTTCTTCCTTCTCTATGGCAAAACCGAATAGTATCGAATAACTGTGCAAATAGTCAAATTCCAATATGTGTCAATATTTTTTTGGCAATGAAATTCCATCTTCAAAATGTATATGTTCTGTATCTATTGGGGCGACTGGTTGCTGTATTCCGTAGTCGTCGATTATAAAAATAAAACGTTGCCAATAAGTATCATTTACCATAACACAATTTAAATTTTAAAATTAAATTTTCGGTTTCTTTGTATTCGAATCAATACCGACTGCTGTGCTATTACTGTTGATTGTGTCAATGGCAAACAACACGACCCCTCGTTTAGCATCTCGCTGACAAGATGAAGAACAAACAGAATATACATTGTACAGAGAATGAACACATATTTTTTTGCACGGCACATCAACAACCAAATAGAAATGTATATAAATATAAAATTCGGTCCCTAAAATAAAATAAAGGTTATCCAAGATGTAAGAAAAAAAACTGCGAAAATTTATTTATAAAATAGAATTGTTGTTTTTCCGTTCTTTGAGAAATCAAAATAAACCCTCGATGTCATTACAGTCAATATATTGCTGTGTAATATTTTTCAGCCGACTTTACATTCGAATCGAATTGAAAAAATGGAAATTGAAAGACATTGCATGAGATTGAAAATGTCATCGCTGTATATCGATATAAACGAGGCATAAACTGAATAAAGAAAAAACCAACTCACAAAATCAATGTATTCATAAAGAGGATATTACAACCCTTAATCTATACGCAACGGTTTATTTTATGTATTCAATGTGTAAAGTGATTTATCGCTTTCGTCTTCGACTTGACTTGATCGGACCGCATTGACAGCTTCTACCATCCATGGCCATATAAAAAGGGGATTTTTTTAAAAGTTTATTTGCTTTGTGAAAGGGAATAGATCGGTCCATTTTCATTCAACCATGAATTTATACTGTAATATTCACTTTTAAAAGTATTACCGTCGCTGTTGTCGCCAGTGCGAAGTTCAAAATATTAAAATATCTTTGTTTGCACATTGTTGAGCGACGACATTATAATCATAACGTTTCAATGTAAATAAATTGAATGAAAATATTTTTCTGAGTGCAATTTAAATTGTGTTTAGTTTAGCGCTGTATGCGAAGTGTGTGTGCAGTGCACTCAATCACACTAGCCCCCGAGTGCGACACAGCCAACATGTTAATGCTCTTTTCATTTAAAATTTCGTCAAATCCTTCGGGCAATGTCATTCAAATGCAGACAACCTGTTTGACGTATACGCACTACAAGTACGTGGTGACAACCACTGTATATTTAATAATGAAATATTTACGCGCATTAATATTAAGTATTATTATATGCGTTTGGCCACTTAAAAAAATTTCATTTCATAATTCGTTTCTTCAATTCATACAATCAACTTGGTGATGGTGCTCGATCAACACCCTTCAATCTCGGCCCGAAATGGATTTAAAATCGATGTTACTTCTGTTGATTTTCCAACACTTTTTTTGTATTACTGTTCGTCAGTCGCCACTGTTTTACCTATCAATTTTTCTATATTTGCCTTATTTTATTTACTATTCTCCTACTCTGCGTTCTGTTTTTTTTGTTTGTCGACGAAATATTATTATTGCGTGTAAATTTATTGCAAATATGTATAAACAGAACAATTGACATCTGTCTTCTCGAGCGAATCGTTCAGTGGGAAATGATAAACAAGTTTAAGGCAGTATGTTTTGTATTTGTTGTATAACACTCATTCTATACATCTATGTATCGATTTACTGGCGTGTGTATGCAGTGAGTATATGTGCGAATGAACTCCCCTGTGTAAAATCTTCCCGCTGAGCACATTATCATATATGAATTAAGGGTGATAAAAAAACACACATAACCAGAGTTATATTCAGCCACTATGTGCACAAAAGAGAGTGAATGAGTGAATAACAAAATACATTTAGCAACTGTAGAGAAAAAAGTGATTTTTTTTTCATTTTTCGGATTTGCTCCAGCAACAGTAACACGTATTCAATTTTCCGATTAAAATACTTTCTGGGATGATGTGCATAAATGGTGTACGAATTTGTATTATGTTTTATGGAACACACGTTTAACATGTTTCTATTGAATTTGTACATTATGTCGCGTTTATTGTTTTATAATTTATTACAGGGGTTACAGTTTTTGATGAAATTAAAGACGATTTTTTTAATGTAATATAATGGATGTAATTTCTTTTTCTTTAAAGCATTAGATTTATTCGAATTTAAGTGTGCAATTATATATTTTATGCGCGTATTTTTAAAAGGTATCTATAGTTTTATTAGCACATTACCAGCATAAAAACAGAATATTAATTGTAAATGTTTTTAAAAACGTTGTTGTTAATTTTTGAATAATTTAAATCTTTTCACATCTTTAATCTCTTTATGAAATGAATTTGAAGATCTGAAAGTTACTTCATAATTTTGGGTTTGTTTTAATCCGATTCAATGCAGCAAATTAGTCATACCATTATTCAATTTTGGCATCCGGTCGATGGTAGAACTTCAAAGACGTTAAATGGTAAACTTTGTCAATTCGCTCGGATGGAATTGATTTGTAAATTATGTTGCAGCAAATTGATGTGAGTATACGTGTGTAAAGCGACAATATGGCATTTTTCGTATTATAATAAAAGACGAATAAAAATGAAGGGGAAGCGATTTATAATCCCTTAATATCAAAAAAAGACTGTATAACAAGTGTACAATTTCACACTCGCTAAACAAATATGATGGAGATAGAGGTGATGAGCATTTATAACGGCATATTCGGACTTAAATACATCTCTTCGCCGCACACAACTACCTAATCAACACACAATGACGAACAGCGGGAGCCGATTCATTTTTTGCCATGCATTTCACACTTGTCACGCATTAAATTAATAACTTTCTGTGTATTAATATCCGTTGAAATGGTTTTTGTTGCGAACGCACATTCATGAGGGTTGCCTACTCACTCGTCTGTATGATTAAAATGCACTTTTTTTGTTGTAGTTCTTCTTCATACAAACACTTGCCGTATACTTGGTTAATATGATTGTTTTCGGACAAATAGATAAATGCTTTTCATCAATTCAATCGGTCTTTTGTTTGAGCAATTTGTATTTAACAAACAATGCACGGATATCAATCAATTTGGGATGAGTTTGAAACGCTAAATCGACAAAATATACATTTTCGATGCGCAAACAGATGCGATGATTGTAGTTCAGAGATGTAGAGAAAAGATGTATAGAATTCGTGTGATAGTAGAACGCGACTAAATTATTGAAGCGAATTCTATTCAAAAATTCGAATTTTACTGCAATAGCTTCTTTTGATTTCTATCAGACATATACACACCTTTGTGAAAAACAGACTGAAAAATAAAAAATGGTTTGCGCGTACGCTGAAGCTCAAGATGATTTTTTTTTTACCAATAAATTGTCGAGAATAAATTCCCATTTAACGGCCATTATCAGTTTGAATGAAATTGCTTTTTGGTGAACGGGTAAAATTATGGTTTTCAACTGTTTCTACTGCCAACCATTCAGTCGGCGAAACAATTTACGTGGCGTCCATATCAGAAACCATCATCGCTTACAAAAAAGCATTAAAATGGTGAATATTTATGCAATGGAAAAATACGCTGTCGCTATCTCTTTCACGCGCTTACACCTGCTCATGCCACACTCATCGAATCGTTTACACACAAAGGTAAAATGCCACATTTTGTGGGTTGCTTTTTTTTCTTAACCGTTAGCCGCTTGAATGGTGCACTCCTTTTTAAAGCGATGAGAAATGCAGACGTAATTTCAGATCGAGTTTTCAAAAAAGAATATCATTTGAATTTAAGCTCACAAAATTAAAATCTCAAATCTACAAGACACAAATGCACGAGAGGGAAAAAAGTGGCAATTGATGGTGTTATAAAAAAAGAACCCAACCTCAATGTCACGTTACCCATGATTTTCGTTCATTCGTGTTCTATTGAGGCGTTCTCGTTCAATGTGTGAAAATTTAAATGGCAAAAATATCTTAATTTTAATAAAAGCATTTAGATGTTAAACGAAGCATTCGTTTAAGCCCTTTTTTTCTCAGCCCCGGTCGTTCGCATTTTCACCGGTGCGCACACTTTTTTTCTTATCGTAACGTGATTCGAGTGAGAGCATTTCAGTCATAAATTTCGATGCAAGCGATAAGACTGGTGTGCTGAAAAATATACGACCAACATCGCTTTTGCCATGAATGGAATAAAATGGAAAGTTATTATTTGGTCGAAACGATTCAGAGATTTGAATCAGCAGCCGAAGCGTGTTACTTTATAATCACCTGTTTACATTTCACAGCTTTCGTTGTGCAAAACGGGTGATATTCTATGAAATTCGGGTGTTGGTTTTTTTTTGTATGAAATTTCAAAGAGTTTTACCATTTAAATACATAAAAATGACAAAAACCATGAGTAAATATTTATAGTCGAAAATGAAAGTTTCATTGGCATTTAATTGCGATGTGAAAATGACCATGATACATTAAATTTTATCTAAATTCCATTGGATTTGGGTTTGCGATTAATTTCGTGATTAAAATGAGGGAGCATTGCCAATTTAAAATGATTTTAATCAAACGAAACTGTGAAAACGGCACATAATTTTCATTGACTTAAAGAAGATTAACAATGGAATTGTGGAGCGAGACGGCAAACAAACGAACAAAAAATCGGTAATTTCATGTAAAATTACGTCTGATCGCTGATTTATATAAGAAGCGCCAGAATTTAAAGACGACGACGTCGATTTGGCAGGTAAAATGTTTATTACGAATTATCGTGTCGAATTTGTGTGTGTGTGTGTGAATGGTGGCGGTTAAAACTGCTGTGGAATACATAATGTGTTAAAAAAAAAATAATTTGCTTTTTTCGTCTCAGCATGTTGAAAGTCGTTTAAGCACAAATCTCTTGTCTTGTGCACGATTTTCATTTGTTTGTGCGTGCGCGAAGCATTGAATATTTTTTATTCGATGTGTGTATGCTTTTTTTTAATTTAAAAACAATCAATATATTAGCGCACCTAGAGCCATGGCATGTCGCATCTTCGCCATCATGAATTCTACTGTAATAAACGTATAATATTAATATAATGTTCAATTTCTCTGGTGCTGGTGTATGTGTGTGCAAGTATGCGTCGCCCCCAATCGACCTCCCATCGCTCGTTTTTATTATATTATCCATTTTTTCCAATTCAATTTCATCGGGCGCTCATTCGTTCTGAGTTCGATTTTCCATTATAGCGTCTATATCGCAAATTAAATGTATGTGTGCGTGTGTGTTTGTGCGTCTGTGTGAGGTCGTCCTCATTTCTTGCTGTCTTTAATTCTATTTGAAACTGTTCAAATAGACAAAGGAACGTGTCAGCAATATGTAATTTCAAAATTAACAGACGCTCATTCAGGCTTCAGCACAAAAATATGTAATCGAAAATGGTAACAAATGAAATGAGCATGTCAAGTTTGAGCATCGCATACACGAAAAAAATTTATGAAATTTGTGCAGTTCGGTTTGTTCATTGTGTTCAAACGTTTGCAACGATGATGTTCACCTTTTCTTTCTCGATATCTCTCCCTCTATATCTTTCTTCTTCTCATTCGAAAATGAAAAAAAAAAAAATCGAAATTGACTGGCGGTAAGATTACACGTGTTTGAGTTAAAATGATGGCCGAAGCGTTTATATCGATTATAGGTATTTGGATAACACTGTGCGGGACGCAATCACGACGATGACAAAGACAATAGTCAAATCCATTGGTGCAAAATGGAAAACATGAAATTAAATATTAGTTCTAAAAAAATAGAACACACCCCACCATACGGAATCTTACGAACACGAACGCTTGTTCATGTCACGAATACAAATTGGCGATTTACGATTCATTCTCCACTATCTTCTTTATGTTTTCTACTCTCTCTCCCTCTCTCTCTCTCTCTCTCTCTCTCTCTCTCTCTCTCTCTCTCGTCAAAGCCAGCTATACATCGCACACTGATTTAATTTTTCTCCGCATGGATTTTCATCATGTCACATTTTATTAACAAATATCCGTCAATGAGATTGCTTTTCATGACAATGTGCGTCGCTTTATTGAGTTCGTGTTTTTCTTTCATTATATTGTCGTTATATTTTTTTTCTGTTTCTCATTTCATTCTTCGTTTATGCCATCGATACATTCGAATTTTGGGGTGAATTTTAAATTCTTTTCACATTTTTTCAGGCGATCTGGAATCTGTGGCGAATTTTCTTTATTGAATTTCAACTTATATGTCAGTTAAGCTGTTCATGTCACTTGCTCTGGAGCCCAGCATCCACTGTTTGCCTCTGATTGTGACAGTGTTTATGCATTTATATCATTCGTTGTATACAATATACATATTAAGTGGCCATGCTGAGAACGCTCTGCTATTCTAATTGATTTATTTTTATTTTATTCATTCGACGTGTTTTTTGCGTTTTTCCTCATGTAGTTGCATGTTGTTATTTTTTAATGGCGGTCACACTGAAGCTGTTACTGGGGACAATAATAAGGTGCATGCGTTGAGACATAAGCACAATAAAATTCAATGACAATAAAAAAATGTGATCACTGTTTATTTCACCGGGAATTTAATTACAAACGGCAAATACTTCAATTTCAATTGGTAAGTGGACTCAAGGAGATTTATTCATCGAAATAAAAATATACATATGACTTTACATTTTCTTCAAAACGGACTGAATTTTCAAATGTTGACCAAAATTTTATTTTTAAAACTGTTAAAATTGAAACTGACAGATTTTATTAATGAAATGAATGATGCATACTGGACGGTTCGACTGGACGGTACGAGTAAATTTGCATTGAGAATACTTTCGGTGAACCAAACTGCAGAAATAAAATGACATTCTTAATGAGCTCCAACCCTTAAATATTTAAAAAAGACACCGACAATATTTACATCGGTTAGATTACATATCTCACGGATTCAATTATTATTGGAAAGTAATTTCAACATTTTCTTTATTTATTTTTGTTTTAAGTTCGAAGAACGTTTGGTAGCTTTTATCCTATTACGTATGCCACCTTCTTCTTTATTCAAATACACTAATATAATTTTCATCGTTTTTCACATTTTTCCATTGCAAGGTATTACCTAAAAAAAGTTCAAAAAAAAAAAAAAATACAAAGTTTTATTGAATTGAAAAAGCGGACGATTTCTGTGTATCGTTGGCAAAAGTAGAAAATTACATAATAAAATGTATCTAAATTTATGCATTTTCCACTCATAATACAACAATTGATCGCGATAAGTATAGCGCTACAGCGTGAAAATTTCATTTTCGTTGTGTGTATATATTCGGTTTTGCATTCTTTTTCTTTTTCATTTTCTTCTTCCATTGATATCAGATTTTTTTTTTCTTCAACCCTCGGGTTATTTATCTATGGCTGCCTCAAACCCGGGTGCTCGTAACTGCCACTCAATTTCCATACATAATATGCAATGTACACAGAAATATCATCGCGAGCGTACTTACACCAATTGGAAAAAACAACAACACCACCAAGAAAAGCAAATGAAAAACAGCGCGAACACCCGAAAAAAAACCATCGAGCTAACAGCAGCAGTCAAAGTGTAGAAAACTGTTTAAAATTCTTAGATTGTGTCGGCCATAAATTTTGTGAACAAAGCGAAAATAATATAATATTATATGTTGAGATGCAAAAAGCAACAATGGAGGAGAACGACATGAGAAAAAGAAAATATTGCGCACAAAAATGAAAAGGAAGAGCAGAAAAAAACGTAACACGAAAACGAAGCGAGAAATATGCGCGCAAAAGAGAGAAAAAAAGTGGAAAAATTATTATGCCATCGTATTTTACCATCATACGAAAATACACATAAACAATGTGGCCACCGCACTTTGGCGCGTCCGAATCCGAAAAGCGAATGAAAAAAAAACGACAAAACACCGTAAAAAAGAACAAAATGTTTTGTGCGAAATATAGAGCGAATGAATGAACGCGCGAGCTTAGAACGAATAGATAAAGGAAAATATAACACCCAAACGAAAGAAAAAAAATATCCAGAGAAAACTGAATTGAACAATAAAAAGATAGAGAATAACAATAAAAAGTTGAGTCGAAAAGCGAACATATTTCAAAGCGCCACGTTCATGCTGGCGTTCACTATCGATAGCAACCGACCAAACGAACACGCTTCTCACCCATTTCCATTGCTTGTCTCATTCACAGCTTTTGTATACCAATTTTCATCTAATAATTCTTGTTGGATTTTTTTTTCTCTTTTGCCAATTTTATGTTACGGGAAACTAGAGTCAGACATTTCGTATTTCCAATTTTGAAACGAGTAGAATACTGGCTGAACTAAGGCAACATTATTGTGGAAGGCTTTCCAAAGGGACATTCTTCTCGTGAATAATTCGTTCTGCGTCATTCGAAATTATGAACAATTAATTACAGCTAGCAACTTCTGAAATAATACCGAACTTCCGAAAAGTTGAAAAAGTGCACGCCATTACATCAATTCTCGATGCAGAATTTCATTTTTCAATTAGAAACTTTCGTCAATCCCAATAATTGGGTCAGAGAAGTTTGACAAAATTCAACTGAAGACGGTGTTGTTTGAATGGGAAAGTTTTATCATTTTCCGCATATTAATGTTGATGGCAATAGTGTTGGATTTTCATCATTTGTTCATTCTTAATTGGTTTTCGTTTGGCATCATCTTGTTCAATTTTAACCATACCGAGAAAAAAAAGTTTTTTTTTCTCACATTGTTGGTTCGATGAAAACTTTTGCCCAGTTACACAGTCATTCTTTGTAAATATGATCAGCAAAAATCCATCGATTGAATTGCGCCTGTGCGATTTTTCGTATGGATACGGAAATTTGTTTGAGCTTCTGTTTGATAATAAGTTGTGTGTTATTGTTTGGATAGTTGCTAGTTGATTGGAATTATTCAACCTTTGGTTTTGGTGGAGTGTATATATTTTGGCTAATCCGCTTAATTCGAACGCCTATGCACACAGACAGACGGTCTATGAACTGAAAAGCTGTAGCAATTACGAGAAATTTTGCTTCAGTTGCTGCTATTAATTTTGGTAATGTCTTCGATTCGGTTGATGGGAGTGAAAGGGAGCACAGGTTTTGATTTTCATCACGTTCGATATACTTCTTCTTTTTTTTCTTCGTCTTTTCTTCATCATCGATAAAGATGCGATTCAGCAAAAGCGTCGTAATAAGTCGCGTCTTTGTGTTTGTGTGCATGTGTTGAGCGCACAATTGTGATGAACATCCCAAATGGGAATAATCCAGTGTTCAGAGTAATTATTTGATGAGCTAAGCAGAAAACGTTTTGTACGTGACTTGTTGTTCTCGTTTTATTGTTCGCATTGCTGGTGGTTTTGAGGCGTTTTCATTTTCGAAAATCTATCGTTTATCCAATTCGATTAAATTATGCCAAGAAAATAATCGAACGCATTTATTTCGATGGAAGGCATCCGAAAATCCTGCGTCTTTGATACCAAAAATAATGTATAGAAAAATCATGGATTTATATCATGTTTTTAGAGTGCAAAAGTATGCAGCGTTCATTTTAAATCCGAATTATTTGCGATAGTAAGAATTGAGATACTTTTTTATATTTTTCTTCTTTTCGACGATTTTTTTTTGCTTTTTGAATTCGATTGTTTGCTCTTTCAGTTCAATTGAGATAAATCCTCGGAAAAGTTGAAATAGACAAAAACATTCTCTTAAAATGGTGGCCAATAACCGTTTACATTTATGATCGAAACTTCTCGGTGATGTATTGCAGGTCTCCCCTTGTTTAAATGAAAATATTACCTATCGTTTCGCTCTGCCATTGGACGGCGCAGACGTATATTAAATTATTTGTAATCTCCTGACTGATAAGCGTTGGATTTCTTATCATACATTTATGTGCACAATATATTCGATGGATGTACGCAAAATAATAAAATCGACAATCATTGGCAACGATGAAAAAAAGAAACGAAAATCTCCTTTTCCGGATTTGCTTGGTGCCACATAATCCATTTGAATAAATGGTTTACTGTATAAAACTCATTTAGATTTTGATTGTCAGCGATAACATATACACAATATTAAAAATGTTTGCCGTTTTTATATACAAGTAAACCCCTTGGCAATGTTGGCATACAACAAAATAAAAACCGATTATTATAAAGGATTTTTGTTTTCGTTTTTTTTTATCCTCGTAAAATTGTCGGAAAGACGACATAAAAGAAATACGATTGGTTTTTTTGTGTGTCGAAAAACGGCCGCCCTATTCGACTCAACCACTTTAATCCAAAAGAAAATATACTTTCTGTTTTTTTATCGCTGTGACTACGATTTTCGAATCGCACGCAATCGCATAAATAAATTTTGTTAGCTGGAAAATTGTTATGAAAATGTGCGGTGATTTGTGTATTCAGTTTTTGTATTGCTCGTGCATTTCTGTTGTTCATTCACATTGATGCGTACATATGCGGTGAAGTCATTCACAGTATAGTATCATATTACTGTTATTATATAGTCGACAGCATATCTACGTATATTTTTTTTTGTCATTTTCATATGAGCGTGTATAAATTAAATCTGGAAAATTGCTGCTATGAACTGAGCATTAACGACGTTATCGTTGACTCGAAGGAAGAAAAAATGTAGCAGGCTGAAAGGCGGTGAACACAACATATGTGCACCGCTTTTTATCTATGAGCGGGTGCGCGTTTACCCACTCGCTCCACTCCATTTGCCAACTTTATGTATTGCAGAGACAAGCTAGTCGAATCGAAGCACGTTACGTGCGGAACGTTTGGGTGGCGGTGGTGAAAAACAAGGGTCAGACGTGTGTATACGAGTATAACGTAACTGTACTGTATTGGAGGGTATTGTGTGTTGATGCGGTTGTGAGCGTGTGCTTCGGTTTTATTTTCATTGCGACGAGATTTTATATTCCTTGCCCGATATCGAAGTGGAAAATATGATTTAATTTCATATTTCAACCGTGATAGGATTTTCCTTGTGAGCACCCAACTACGTAGACACGCCTATTCAGAGATTGCGTAATGCACCCATCATTTCACCCACATTTATATTGATGCTTGGTTATGATTTTGTGGTTTCATAAATTCGCCATTTTTTACCGCACACTTTCCACGACGAATCATACGCTTTTTATTGGTACCTCAGCATATTATATCGTAAAATTTATGGAAAATGGACGCCATTGATGCCTTATCACATTTCTTTTGAATCATTATGTCTTTTCTATGTGAACTCATTCATTTTATGATGTGGAACGAACAAACCTTCAATTTTGAATAAAAAAAAACTCATATATTTCTGCAAACACAAAGGAAAAATTATTTTTCGACAAACACTCATTTTTATTTGGATAGAAAAGAGAACTTTTTTCTTTTCTTATTTCTTTACATGTTTAAAATTACACCTTTAACGAAAATCATTCTAAATAAAAATGCAATTCATATGAATTCCAAATGAATATTTTCGTAATTTGCCACATACTTGCTTTTGTGATGTTCAAACAGTTCGATAAGCTTATCGCAAAATAACGCATGTACTTCTTCAATTTTCTTAACACTTGGATTTTGAATTTTCTCCAGATGAATTGGTGCACCGATGACTGTGTGAATTGGGTGTCTTTTTGGAATCAAACCAAATGTATACTGTAAACAACCTCGTCCATTATAGTGAATTGGTGTTGTGTAACGAACCGTACACAAAAGAATGCATACAATATAATATATATCATACAATTCAATACATACAAACAATTAATTCATTCATTCAAACATTATAATTCATGCATCAGCATAATGACCGATTTGACAAACAATTCATTCTTATTAAAACAGTTGCAATTACAAAGTAACCCAAACCTGTTGTGTTTTTATATTATTATTAATCCACAGCTCATTGGATAATAGGTAAATTAAATATATTATTCAGGTGTGACATTTGTGTATCTTTTGAATGTTTCTTGAAAGATTCTCACCCATGATCCAAGCTTATAATCAACGACATCGTACATATTATTCTCGCCATACGAAATGGCTGGCACAAGTGATGCACCACTTTGTAATGCGATTTTAACGAATCCCTTGCGTCTTTTAATATAACATTTATACGCATTTGGATGAGTAAAAAAAGCCTCACGAGCACCACCGACAATTAAAGCGACCCCATTTGATGTGTAACCATCATTATTTGAATCATGATTTGGGTCATTTGATTGCTGTAAAAGTGCCGACAATGAATTCGCCGATGCTGAACTAAAACCGCAATTCAAAAGAATCTCACGTTGAATCGGCATTAACATTGTAAAACCGAGTGTTGTACATTTTGGACGAATTTTCGGATATAATCTCGACCATTTTGAATGGTTTGTTGCAAAATTTGCACCAGCTCCAAGACTGCAATTAAAACATTTCGTGAAATTAAATAAATTTTTATGCTTTTATTTAGTATTGTCACCTAAGCCATCCATGTGGAAAAATGCAAAATAAATAGTTCCGATCAGGTGGTAAGTCCACTGTTTTTATCAATTCAATTGGAAAATAGTCGAGACAATATTTCCACACACTCAAGTTTCTCATGAAGTGTAATCTAAAAAAATCGAACAATTGTTTATGAAACGCATTTTTTGGCTTCATTAATAATTGTTGTTTACCCAATGCCACGACCACCCTGATCACTTGTGTGCCGATCATAGTAAATGAATGCCAAATATGACGAGCAAATGATTTTTACGTAGACATTTCCGATGTACTGTAAAAGTATAAGTGAAAAAAAAAACGTTACCACTCTGTGGTGCCGGATTGAAATGATTTTCATTGAAAATTACTATCAACAGTAAGAAAATAAATGTACAAATTGGCCCCAAGGCAATTTCACAAAATACAATCAATCCAACGCTGAGACACTCGAGACGACGATGCATCGGTACATCAAACCATGGTGTCCACTTTATGGACATTGTCTTATTACAATCAATTATTATATTCAAATTTGAATTCGGTAAATTATCACTGTTTTCAATGTTTTTTTGAATCGGTCTTAGAAATAACTATAGAAACTCAAACCAGTGATGAGCAGCCGAAAAAAATGACTGATTTCAAATGAGAGAAAAACGTGTGTCGTAGACATAATAGATGATAGGCATTATTCGTTTCAGACGGCTATCATTCACAGTAAATTTGACGTAACGTTACACTTGGTCAATATAAGTGAAGGTTTTAGCAGCAATCATATGGAATACTGTTCAATATGGACGGGTGAGCACAACAAAAAAAAAAATACACAGCCAGAAATGATTTGTAGGCCAAATCAATTTACAATGTAATCTTCATGACAATGATTGAAGTTCAAATAATCTATAATTTTACGTTTAACTTTGTGCATGCAATATTTTACGTTGAGCTCTATTCTGACAATGTTGCACATTGTTTACTTCCGATCATATGTTGATTGATTTCAGTAAATCGTATTTCCCCTATAAGTATACTCCTCTTCGAGCTAAGCCCAATGTAATTTGTAATATTTAGTGGATACAATGTGTTGACAATTTTTAACAAAATAGACAAGGAATACTTAATTGTGATGTCTGGCTAAAATTTGTCTATATTTTTATAGCTTTGAATTGTTATTTATTTTGGGTAAATAAGTAAATTACATGATCAAAACAAGTGAAAAAACAATCAAAATTTTTTTTCTTGCTCTTTTTATTAATTGTTATGTATTAATTTTGAACAAATCGTTGTTTACTTCTTCTTTTTTTGTTTTAATTCAACTGGTTTTGGATCTGATTCAAGTTTTGCACGCATGCCAATAATAAACTCAGTCCATATGACGCGTTCATTATTGTACTTCTGTAAAACATCTGCCGCGCTTTCAAGCTTTTTAATCAGTCGATAATGTCTAACAAGTATTCCATCCAATATACCGTCAACGTATTTTTCTGCAGTTTCCGATGCGTTATGAGGTTCATTTAATAAGGTCTTAAATATGGAGTTGGCTCCGTTGAAATAAGCTTTAATCTCATCTCTTAATACATCTGCTGCTTTCATCTCATCGATAAATGTTTTCTGCCAATTGTCGAATTTCGATTTCATGGTCGGATAGTCAAGATTGATTTGTTTCAAATGATGTGCATCAACTGGATTCTTGGCCCAATTCTTGTACGACTTTTCAATGGCTTCGTCTAATATACCTTTTGATTTGAATGTTATTCTCGTGCATATTTGATCATCTATCTCTTTAATTGATATTGTTTCTCCTTCATTAATGGCGTCAATTTTTTCACGCAAAACTTGGCGTGCGTCTGTTCCGTTAATTTGTAAATCTTCCGGTACATGCTTTAAGATATATTCGCTGGTATTGTGCTCCAAAAATGCTTTTCTTGGCATTTTTTCCAGTTTTTTCTTAATAGCATCGATATCTTTGGTGATTTTTAACATAAAATCGAACTTTGATTTCAGACTTTTTGATTGACCGTACAGTTTTTTCACTATAGAAGCAAATGTGATGCTTTCAGTACTGACCACCTAAAGAATAGAAAATTTATAATGAAATTGATCAATAAATACCGAATGAAAAGTTTATAGAAACATCTAGAAATTTGATATAAATTTTGATATAAACACTTACTTGAACGACCAGGAAAAGTGACAAAATTGCTATAAACAAATTTATTCTCATTTTTGAATTCCTTTAAAATTTACACCTTTTATAAAACTGGCAATAGAATTGTTAGACAAATGATGAAGTTGACACCGTTTTATATGGAAATTTAAATTGAAAAACAAGACGTAAGCGACCTTCAATTATAAAACATCTTTTGCATTTATAATTGAATTTATTTTATGAATAATAGATATAAATTCAATAAACAAATTATAATTCATCAATCGCAAATGCTTTTTCACAATAGCCTATCGTTGCCGATATGAGTAAAACAAGTATATGATTAAAATTTTTATTTGAAAACATTATATTTCTATTATATAGTGTGTACAATTTTTTTTCGAAACGATTTTTTGTCTGTAGGCCTTGCATTAAAAAAATGATTTTTTCTTTTTTGCAATTAAATCAACTGGTTTTGGATTTGACTCAAGTGTTGCACGCATCCCGATTAAAAATTCAGTCCATTTAATACGTTCCGCATTGTACTTGGATAAAGTATTTGATATGCTTTCAAGCCTTTCAATCAATCGATACTGCCTGGCAAGTATTGTATCTAACAAGGTATCGACATCATTTTCAGTAATTTTCACTGCTTTTTCAGGTATTCTTGCTAAGTTTCTAAATATGGTGACCGATTTATTGATGTTAGCTTTGATTTCAGCCCTTAATGCGTTTGCTTCTGTGATATCTTCATTGAACATTTTGTGCCAATTATCAAATTTTGATTTCATAGTTGGATAGTCAGCATTGATCTGTTTCAAATGGTTTGAATCGAAAGAATTATCAACCCAATTCTGATACGACTCTTCGATGGCTGAGTCTTGTATACCATGCGATTTGAATGACATTCTTGTGCATATCACATCATCTATGGCTTTAATTGATGTTGTTTGTCCCTCGTTAATTGCCTCGATTTTTTCACGCAAAAACTGACGTGCTTCGGTTCCATTAAGTTTCATGTTCTTCGGTACATGGGTCAAATGTTGCTCATACAAGCTTTCGTCCATAAATGGTCTAGCAGGAAGATGCTCAAGCGTTTGCTTAATTGAATCGACATCTTTGGTGATTTTAAGAAGGAAATCAAATTTTGGTTTCGTATTTTTTGCTCGGGAATAAAATTTATTCAAAAGTTTAGCAAAAGTAAGGGGCTTTTCACTGTTGACCAACTAATTGTAAGAAAAATGAAGGAAAATAATCAATATATGTGACCTATTTTTAAAAAATCAAATAAAAGTTTACTGTTTATCATAAATTTGCCTACCTGAATGAATAGAAAAATCGAGAATATTGTCACGAATGAAATCGAACGCATTTTGTAGTTTATTCGAATTACACTACAACATCTCGTATGAAATTTGATTTGAAATTATTTGATAACAGGTTGATGTGATCACTTTTTATATGAAACATTTTATCCACGTAGATGGAAAACTAGTACGCAATTTCAAAATATTGTCAATATAAAATTCAAAAATAATATTGAAAATAAATTCTTCATTAATAATTGAGTTTTTTTTATGGCATTATAAAAACCATTAATTTTAATTTGAAAGAAGTAAACAATAAACAAGTGTGAGTAATTTCCAATACAAATTTTGTTTACGAAAAAGTCTATGACAAAAAAAGTCGACTGAAAGTTGTATTTAAAATATTCATACAAACTAGAACTTGTTACATTACAACTTACACGAATAACAGTGGTATTGATAAACGAGATTTGAAAACTTTTGAATTTTTATTATTTTCTTTATACCCAATGTTCATACAAGATCTATTGCATCAAGTTTGCAATTTTCCACTTAAATTCCAAATCGGTATTACGGATCAAAAGCGAAATGTTCGTAATATATCAATGTTTTTTGCTTTTGCTCTTCTGATTTTTTGGTACTAGTTGAACTATTTTTGGTTCCGAATCAAGTCCATTGCGCATTTCTATTAAGAATTCAATACATTTCATGCGTTCCTCGTTGTACTTAAATAAGACGTCTGCCACGGTTTCAAGCCGTTTCGCCAACTTTTTTTGTCTCTTGAGTATTGAATCTAATATACCATTGAAGTACAGCTCAGCTGTTTCTGATGCTTTCTCAGGTTCCGCCAGTATAGACTTAATTATAGAGATACTTGCATTCACATTGGCATTAATTTCGTCTCTTAATTCATCTGCTGCTTTCATTTCCTCAATGAAGATTATTTGCCAATTTTCAAATTTCGATTTTATCGTTGGATATTCAGCTCTGATTCGTTTAAGATGATCATTGTCATAAGGATTTTTGACCCAATTTTTATACGATTCTACGATACTTGGATCTAATATGCCTTGTGACTTAAATGAAATTCTATTGCAAATTGTCTCATCTATTTGCTTAATTGTTTTTGTTTGCATTTCATTAATTGCCACGATTTTTTCACGCAAAACGGTGCGAGCGTCTCTGTCATTAATTTTTAAACTAGCTGGTACATGCTTCAATATGTGTTCCCTGGTACTTTGTTCCAAAAAATTGTTCCTTGGAATTGCTTCAATTTTTTTCTTAATTGTGTTGATGTCTTTGGTAATTTTGAGCAGGAATCTATATTGTTCGCTCGGATCATGCTCGACTGCTATTGTCCAAAATGTTAGAGGATCGTCCATCTTTATAGCAATTAAAAATTACGATAATCTGTATTTGCTTCAAAATGAATTCCAAGTAAGTATATACGAAATTATAATATACCTGTACCAATGGGAACATTGATAAGAATGCTACGAATAATATCGGATTCATTTTTATTTCACATTCATTTAAAGTATCTGCTCGTATAAAAGTTGTTGGATAATTACTAGATAGGTTCTGACGAAGATACTCTTTATATACGCAATTTCATCTACGTTCTACGTAGACTGGAAAATTGAACGTTTTTTATCTAAATACTTCGTAATAAACACAAATGAATGCTTTAGAATAAAAATAAGGTAACTTTGCTACTAAAAGGCAATTTTGTATGAATTTTCCTTGTGAAAGGTCGTGTTGCTAAGAAATAAAAACTACCTGAAAAAATGTATATTTATTTGTGAATGTATAATGAAATTTATTTATTTTGTGCCGTGTTCATAAATTTTTTCTTTTGATTATATTCTGTAAATTAGTATAATACCTATATTATAATTTTTATTTTCATAATTCAAGTCGTAGAAAAGATCCTTGATAAAGAGTTTTTCCCTACAACTGGTTTTGGATCTGACTCAAGCGTTGCGCGCATTCCAATGAGAAATTCAGTCCATTTAATCGTTTCGAGGTTGTAATTTTGTAAAACATGTGCCGCGATTCCAAGCCTTTTAACCAATTCAGCTTGTCTTTTAAGTATTGAATCTAAAACACCATCAACGTAATTTTCAGATATTTTCGACGCTTCATGAGGTTCTTTTAATAAGGTTTTGAATATGGAGACTGCTGCGTTGAAATGAGCTCCAATTTCATCTCTTAGTACATCCGCTGCTTGCATCTCATCGATGAATGTGTTCTGCCATTCATCGAATTTCGATTTCATTTTGGAATAGTCGTCATCGATTTGTTTCAAATGATCTGGATCAAGCGGATTTTTAAGCCAATTCTTGTATGACTTCTCAATATTTTGGCCTAGTATACCTTGTGATTTAAATGCAATTCTTGCACAAATTTGGACAAGCAATTTTTTAATTGTGGTTGTCTGTGCTTCATTAACTGCCTTAAATTTTCCGCGCAAAACAGTGCGTGCGTCTATTTCTCCAATTTGTAAGTTTTCCGGTACTTTATTCAAGATGTATTCGCTCACACTTAACCCCAAAAAAAATGTCGTTGGTATTTTTTCCAAATTTTTCTTAGTTACATCGATATCATTGGTAATTTTTAGCAGAAAGTTGAATTTTGATTTCGGAGTCTTTGTGCGTTCATTAAATTTTTTTAGCAGAGAAACTAGCTTTTCGCTATTGACCACCTGATTGAGGACAAATTGACAATAAATTAGAATTAATAATAATATTATATTATAATTTTGATCAATTTCAAAGGATGGGTTTAAAAATTTCACATTTTTTGCGCTAGCAATGAGTACCAAAAAATAAATAAGCAAATATTTTTGCTAAACATACCTGCAGTATGAGGAAAAGCGACAAGAATATCGAGAATGGGACCGACTTCATTTTTCTCTACTTTGACTCTTAGAATGATTTATACGTAATTGTATAGCAGCTAATATGATTCCACTATTTATATTCACCAAATTTTCAATGCATTAGATAATTCTGCGTAATTTGCCTCCCAGCTTTGATCAAACAAATTCAGAATTTATAAAACAAATTACTTTATAAAAAGTCTTGAGAATAAAAATGGGATCATTAAAAATTAGTTTGGAATAGACATTTGCAATTCAATGTACTTTTAATCTTCCCCTTAATTCTTTTAAAAACAAACGAGATGTATCATTTTTGTTTCGGACAGACAATGACCCAGTCTGAAAATATATCTAATTATATGAAAATGACATTGTCGATTGAATTTTAAGCTCGATGCTCCTTGGTGAATAAGATATTCAAAAATACAATAAAATTTTATGATTCGTTCTTATGGAATTTAAAGATTATATCGAACTATCCCCTAAAAAATGTGTTACGTAAACATTTCTTAAAACTACATTTCTACCAGTAAACTATCGTTTAAACTTCTCTTTTAGTTCAATTTAGTAAGAAGAAGAATGTACATTTACGTCATTGCAAAGGAATTATCAATTGAAAAACAACGGATGTTTTTTGCGTCATTAGACAAATTTCAAGCAATATAAACAATATTTATTAAACATTTTTTTGAAATTATAACTCTTGAACTTTATTATTCTTTTCAAAAACATGTTGAAATAATTTGTTAATAACATTAAGAAATTGCGTAAACAAAGGAACCGACAATTGATGGTAGAAAAACAACAATTGAATTTTTTTATTGTCTTATCTGTAAATGTCTATGTCGTGTATCAAAGAGATGCTCATATTTTTATTCGTGAACTGTTCTTTAAATTTTTTACAAATGTTGATTTTCTAGAGAAAGCTTGATCGGTTGAATCGGAAGAATTTCCATGTCAATGATCTTGCGTAAATAGTGAAGCTATCAAAATATGAAAAAATTCAAGAGAAAATTTAATTAAAACCCATATTAAGTTACGTTTCATTTTTTATTATTGAATTTTTGTAATCAAATAATTTCTGACTCGATGTCATGTTCAATCTGATTTGGGCGAATCTGTCATTTTAATCAAAAACTCTGTCCATGTGATGCGTTGCTGGTTGTATTTAAGAAGAATCGATATTGCATTTCGAATATTTCCGATCAATTTGGTTTGTTCTGAAACTAATCGATCTGTTGTCGTTTCTAATCGTTTAATCATGATTGCTTTCGTTTTAGAGTTGCGTGTTTTTAATATGTTATTGTATAACGAGTTGATCGATCCGACGTCTGCTTTGTTACTTGCTTTCAGTTTATATACATTATCAATATAGCTATTAAACTTTTTTTGCAATGTTGTGAAGTCTGTTTGCATGGCTTTCAGATCGGTGTCTTTCACACGTTTCGCGTCAATTGACTCTGAGAAATTTTCATATTTATTTGGTGATTCCAGCGCATTGCAAAATTCGGTATTTAGTATATTCACTTTTTCTGTCTGCCTTTTGTTAAATAAATCATCATTTTCTTGATAGAATTTGCGAATATCGTCATACAAAAATGTTTTTAGACATTCATCTCTAGCTTCGTTATTAATGAAGTCGCTCACAGGAACCTCGAAGTTTTTCTTAATTTCATTGATATTCTTGGTAATTTGCAGCATGAAATCTAATTTCGATTTCATTGGCTTCACTTCATTGTAAAATTTATTCACAGTTTCAGAGAACGTTCGTTTCTCCTCGCCATTGATCGCCTAAATATACGAAATTTTATCAGCAATTTTGTTAAACGATACATTGAATATATGAATTATAACTATTAATTAATACCTGAACGAATAGCAAAGGTGATAAAAGTGTCAGAAATAAAATCGACCTCATTTTCTTGGCTAAACTTTGCGAACTGCAGTTCATGGTTGATGAAACCCCTTTAAATACGCAATTTTTCATTGTTTTTAAAATAGGGTCATAACAAAACACGTGCTTGTTCATTTACATTTCCATATTTGAAATTATATTTTCGTTATTATAACAAGAGTTTTAAATTGTTGGTGTTAAGATTAAATATTCTAGACATTCTGATTATATGGGAAATAATACATATTATTTATTTATGTCTTTAAAATTTGAAACGGAATTCTGTAAATTTGAATTTCACTTTTATTCAAAAGTTATGAACAAATCACCATCGACTTTGGTTACAATTTGCCTAAAAAAGACTACTTCATTGAAAAGCTTTATTTTTTCTGGTCGTAACTGGGACAAGTGCCGCCATTGCGAAATATTCCGTCTAAGAAATGAAATTGGTTCTCATGGAAACGGAATTCAAGATGGAAAATTGTTCGCGTTAAGCGATTTAATTAAACTAAATAGGAAAATTTCTATTAAATTTTCTCCATTACGCGAAATGATATTATAATTTCATTACTCTCGATGTGCCATATAACCAGGAAATGCTGTCATAATCTCAAAATATTTGAAAGAAAAAAAAAATGTCTTGGATTTGTCATGCTCGCGCTCATCTTCAAAAGGGAAACGATTTTTCCGCACATCTAGATAATTTTCTTCCGAGTATTTCACATTATATACCGTATTTAAGTATGGAATTTTGCTCCCGCCATTCAACAACGCAAGCGAATTCATTAAACTTTATCAATTATAAAATTTTATGACACAATTATATAATAAGATCTTTCTATTGTGTTCAGCACAATAAATACGAGTACGACTGTGCTATGCTATTATTATAATCTCTATAATTAATGAACGAATTTACCGTCCGGGGTATTTTCGTCATCACTTCGCGTCTGTGACATACTCATCGTTGTGACAGAATGGCATCTTATCCTTCATTATTTTCCATTTGAGAAGTTGACGGGCTCGAGTCGGTTTTAATTGAATTTTTAACAAGCGTGCACAATGGATTTTGGGATGTGTATATGACTGAGAGAATGAGTATGTGTGTTTTATGGCAATATGGAAATAAACGAAGAAAATTGAGAAAATTGTTGATTTGATGCGGATTTTCAAGTACATATCTTAACCTTTCGGAAGAAGTATACGAACGCATTAAAAGCCTTTAACATACAGTCTCAATTTTACAGCTGAATTTCATATTCGGAACATGAAGTTGTCATTTCGGTTTCAAATATTTAAACACCGAGTTTTCACAAGACGTTTCCATTCGTTATGCGGGCATTGTTTCAATACAAAAGATAATCAAATATTTATTCAAAAGATAGACTTGTTATTAAATTGTAACAATCTCAAAACATTGATTGGTATTTGCTTCAAATATCGATCAATGTTTGACACTAGAAAACGAAGAGAATCACTAGCTTGTGATTGAGAATGAGAAATGACAAGTGATATAATAAGTGAAATATTGACGAAATTTAATGGATATAAACCAAAAAGTACTGCATCTTAAGCCTTTTAGCACTTTTCTTAATTGAATTTTCAGTTTTTGTGTTTTTTTCGAGAATTTATAGATTCTTCAATAGATTAAAGCTATATTGAAATTGATTTTCATTAGATTTGGTTTCGTTTTTCATACATGCAACAATCGAACGGATTGGAAACATTGTTCATAGAAAGGTCGTTCCAAATAAAATGTTCTTGTAAACAATATATAATCGGTTCGCATGTACAAAATATGGCGACGATGAATGCAAACAACCAGACGAAGCAACAGCAGCGAAAACAAAAATGTTCACAACCACAAAACTTCATTATAAAATGCGAACCGGTTAAAATGAGACAGAAAAGATTAAGTTGTTTGGATGCAAGAATGAATTAAATACGTTGTAACCCTTTTTAAGTTTTGTTCTGATAACATTTTCTATGAAGTCAGAAAATCTGGTTGTTATCTTTCTTTTCTGTTTTGTTTGTTCAGCATTGAGACATTTTCTATCCCCGAAGACAATCATCCGTTACGCTTGCACCATAAAATATATTACAATTCAAAATGAGAAGACAGAAAAATCGGTGTGTGTGTGCAAATGAAATCGGTAAAAACCAGAACCCGAGATGGTAATGTGTTTTGAAAATAAATTCAAAAGTTTTCCATTAAACGAACTCGTCGCAAGAAAAAAAACTCAACCATATCATGAAATTACAATTTTTTTTTTCTCTTGCCGTCCTTTTTGGCATCTGTTTCATTTGACTTATTCCCAATGTGTATGTGCGTTGTTTTTTTTCTGTCGAGTCGCTTACAAACATTTTTTTGTCGGTTACGATTGAGTAAAAAGAATTTTTAATTACGGCTTACAATTTCTCAGAAATTAGACAATTCAACGAAGTGAATACTGTGACAATAACACAGAAAAGTAAGAATAAATAAAGGACAAACGGGGAAAAAGTCATCGGTGCGATAAGAAATGAAGTTAACGATATATTTGTTGAATGGTTTTTGTTGGGCAATGGTGATATAGAGTGTTCGCATGTCCATGGCCCCAAAGTCATAGAGAGAGAGAGAGGGTGAAGCAAATTTTATGGTAGACAGCACATAATTAAAGGCAATGCACGGCAAGTTTCTACTTTAAAAGTGAGTCTCTTCGGTGAGACAGAGAGAATTTCTCTTTGTCTTTTTTTTTCAAAATGTGGAGGGCAAAAATGCGATCGGAGACTTTGGAGAAAGTGCTGGAGATAATGAAAGATAGAGAAAAAATACAATAATTCCACAGATTTCTTATTATTTTTGTGCTAGAGCGATCAACAAAAAAAAAAACCATCAAAGCGATGAAGCAAGTGAAGAAAAAAAAAGTATAAATGTAAGACAGGAAACTCGGTTGGAGCACAGAAGCGAAGAGAAACCGAAACACACACATACACTCACGAACACCGACCGGCCAACCGAACGACCGACCGAAAGAAAAACAAACTCAGGCAAATAATACGAAAGTAAAGAAAATCTTTTAATTGCATCTCCTCTGCTTTTAGTCCATTCTCGTCGATTGTGTGTGTGTGTGTGTTTGTGTTCTCTTTTTTCTTCTCTTTGTTTCATTTCTTTCATTTTCAGGCACAGCTTCGGTCTGTGTGATGAGCTTTTTTCTTTGGGTTTTTGGTTGGTGTTTTTTTTTCGCTTCGCTTGAGGAAAATTTATAGCTTATGGAAGTTTTTATTGTTAATTCCATTTTAAACCACGCGTATTTTTATTTTTTTCATGTTACGGCGGTTGAATTGTAGCTGGTTGTTGGTCATTTTCGTCGTTCTACTTGAAACACACAGAGAGAGAGATAGATAGAGAAAGAGAGCAACAACACTGGGGGCGCGTTCATATAATATACACAGAAAAATATGTAATTACAAACAATGTTTGAGAAGAAGAAGTAAAAAAAAGAGGAAAATAATGAAATTAAAGAGAATGTTCCCATTGTTCTTATTTCGCCGCTTCTGCTTCTTCTTTTTCAATTCTCTCATCTCGTTTCACATAAATCCCGTCCATTGGCTGTCACCGAAATAAAAAGTGTACCTTCAAATTTCATCCCTCGTCGAGGTCCAAATTCAATCTATTTCACTTCGAATTCTTTTATTTATTGGAAGAAAATATATATAAATCGACGAACAAACGTTGAGCCAATCGATGGATGGACACTAGATAAAAGGATATCGAAACGAAGAGAAAATTTAATCAGAATGTGTACGAGTATTAAAAATGGTGTGTGCCATATACACACAAACATGAAATGCGAAAAACAACAACAAAAATAAAATATTAACTAAAATCACAGAGGATAAAAGAGAAAAAGAATCAAATTGCTCGGTTAATAATTGATCAATGTGTATCAGTGTGTGGCGATATAACAAGCCGGTCAAAAAGCGGAAGAATAAAATGGAAACAGAAGCGAGCAAAAGAGAGGGCCAGAGAAAAAAAAACATATGTATTTTTGTTATTCATCGAACGCATTAAAATCAAAGTAAATTTAATCAATTTCTGTGTCGTTTTGGATGTAGTTCGTCGTTCGATTATATGTTTTCTATCCGTTTGGTCATGTGAAACACGCTCATCGTTTTTCAATAGTTTTACTCATTTTATCAAAATGTGCGCGCGGAAATTTTCATTTTTGGCCCGTGTCCGTTCGTTTGTCATTCGGCTATTCTTTTTTTTTCGTTTTTCACTCATGCTCCATTTTGGCCCCGGATATATTCATATTGCTTTTCAGTTTAGCCCGTTTTATTTGGCCCGTAAATACGGTTATAAAATATAAATTGTATTTTCGCCCATTCGAAATGTCGATTCAATAAACAACAAGCAACAATAACAGGCAAGCAACACATTCGAAACTTGTAGTTACGGAAAATGTATTTTGTATGACTGTGTTCATTGAATATAAAGTAAGAATGGTTGTGTGCGCCGCCAAAATAACTAGTGAGAACGAGAGAAAATATTTACGAGTGCTTGTGTCCCATAGATTACGTTCGAATGTGTGTTGGCAAAATTCAATAAATGTGTAATTTCGTGTACAATTCACTCTCTCAATATACTATTCACAAGCATACTGTTTATGTATTTTCGCAGTCAGTGTTAGACCATAGAGACAACGTCGTAAAACGATATAACGATGACGATATTTCGTCGTGTATGATGTAAATAATTTATGAAATCAACGTTTCGAAGTGGACTTTCATATATTATTCCGTATAATCTCGAATATTGGACGAGCACTCGAGACCAATTGCAAAATAGAATGCTTTAAAAAAAATACAGATAGAGCGAAATCTACACATCCACAAAGGACACACCGAAACAGCAGCAACAACAAACAAAAAAAGAACCGATGAAAATTTATACAAAACGAAATTCAATAAAATGCCATTTGGCTTACGGTTCGAGAAAACACATCATTTGGCGTCCAGCACAACAAATACGGAATATGAAATTACACTTCAAT